AAATTACATAATTTGTACATGATTTTAGGATTATCTCAAATTAAGATTAATTAATTTTAATATTTTATTATTAATAATTATTATATGATTAATTATTATTAGTATTTATACTTTAGGATCATAACTTATAATTTAATCTATGTAATAATATAATTTTATAATATTATTTAGTGTTTATTTATATTAAGTTATTAGTAAATTTAAATTTAAAGAGCAAATTTATAATTTATTGCAAATACATTAATTAATAAATACTGGTACCAATTTTGGGCGTTATGGGGTGCTAATCCTTTCCCATACGTAACCGACTCCCGAACTCATTTTTCTGGTAAGCAGACCCGAGTTGTATTATTTTAATATTATTCTTAGGAATTTTATTAGAATAATATGAAATTTTGGTTACAAATCTCACCAAATTAAAAGATTAGTGGTGACTCTACAATTTGGTGTTTCATCTGATTCAAGGAAGATAAACACTTACTTTTTCGAGACTAGTTACACTCTTTGAGGTGTACTATTTGCACTCTCCGTCGTCGGGCAGAGAAACCTCTTGACAACTTGGCGACTCTGCTGGAGATAATCTAAAAGAGAGTCCAACCAACCAATTTATTAATTATTTGTCTTTACAATAAATTAATAAATTTGTTTTAATTTTGTTTTAATTATTTTACTAACTTTTTTATGTGTGTAAAGATTTAATTTTGGGTCATTAGAATAGAATAATAGGTTGAATATTATTTTATCCTTTTTTATGTTTTTCCTGTCCCACTGTGCACTGCATTCATGACATGAGTTAAAACCCCGCTTTTATCCAGTTTAAGTGAATGAGAAACTACTCCCTCGTGTGTTTTTCACCTCCGTATGGGATAGGGGACCATTATTTGAGCTCACACTTTATGTTTCTCGTGTGGTTTTCACCTCCGAATGGACATAAAGAAGTGTGTTCCTTCAAATTGAACTTAATCTGAAGGTCTGTAATGGACCAGGATTGAGGGCTTGGCAGTCCAAGGGGACACCAACAAAGGACAATTCGTTGACCCTTTTTACCTTAGAGCCAAAATCCAACATAAAGTAAAACCTAGAACTTGAATTTAAATAGAACCTCACCTGATTAGGTCTTTTAAGATGAACACTCAAGGGAAAACATGTTGAGTCTTTTATTTAGCACTATTTTATTTTTTATAAATGCATGCAAACTAGAAATCATGTGGTTAGGTTTGTTGTTCTAAATAAAGCACGGAACTAGATGGCATGAAATTAGGTTTTTTTAATTAATTATTCTTGGTTAATTTTATGCTTCATTTTCTGCATTCAGCATTTTCATATCATGGTGTTGATTCATGACTGATTTCATATAGAAAGCTGAAAATATGGAACAAAGAGTCCAATATGAAGTAGAAGGTAATGTAGTTGTTTTAAGATGGTTTGAACAGTCTCAACTTATCAAGCGAAATAATCTATCACCTAGATACGTGTCAGATCTGGTTAGATATAAACATATCAATGTTCGCCAAAATAACCTGGGTGAGTTGAAAGAAATCTGGGAAAAGTGAGAAGTAGCTGACAAACGTCTATTTTATCATCTATATGGTGACATTGCTTATCTTCTGGACATTCCTATTGACCGATATATGTTCAGAGCTCTATCACAGTTTTGAAACCCTGCCTACAGTTTCTTCACCTTTAGTAAAATAGACTTGACACCTACTATAGAAGAATATCGAGCCCTTATTCGCTATCCAAGAATCTACGAAGATGGGGTATACATCAAGTCACCCAATACTGCTTCTTTTAAGAAGAAAGTGCTTTTATTGACCGAGATGAGTGAAGAATGGGTTACAAGAAATATCAAGAGAAAATGTGATAGTGAATGTATTACTTGGACTGCCTTGAGAGAAGTAATCTATCGCCATCCAGACAAAAGAAAGCAGATTGATATGTTGGCTTTATAAATATATGGATGAATCATTTTTCCGAAGATCCTGGGGGATATGTATATAGCAGCTGTAGACCTGTTTGATCGATTGAACAAGAATGCAGATCTGGTTCCTGTTATATTAGCTTAAACATTTCATTCCTTGAATTCTTGCAGACACGAAGGAAAGGGACGTTTTATAGGCTGTGCACCTCTATTATTGGTATGGATGCTGAATCATCTTAAACACGAGGAAAGAGCTCTTGGACGAGTATTTCTGGAAGATTTCTCACCACTACAAGATTTCCTTTCGCGCAAATGGCCTGGAGGATATGACAAAGAAAAATGGATGAATATCTTCCGAAATCTCGAAGATAATGATGTATTATGGCGAGCCTCATGCAACACTTCTTCAAACATAGTGTATAAGAGTGGAAAGCATGATTCGGTTCCCTTGCCTGGCATATGGGGTTCCGTAGGATATGCACATTTGATGGTTTCCAGACAATATAGATCAAGACAGTTTATTCCTGCGACATCAGGTTTATCCAAATCAGAGTTTGTATTCAAAAGTGATCAGTACAAGGAAAAGATCAGAAAGGTTGCTGAGGCTTGGAAATGGATTCATTAAGTAAATTTATTTACTTTCAATCAAAAGCTCTCATCCGAATATGAGCAATGAAGAGTCAACCGAATCAACGACAACATTCCAGTGGTTAATTTCGAGAGTGTTCAACCTATCAAAGAACATTTAAGAATTATACCATCTCCATTAGAACTGACAAAGCAAGACTTTGAGATCAAAGGCTTAATGTGGTTGTAGACTGGATTAAGGAAGTGGATTTAGTTCCTGATGTTTATGTTTTTTTGATTAAAGATCTTGTTCACAGGCTTAATGTTTTAGAAGGTGTTGTCAGATGGGTTAATAGGACATCCAATTTAGAGGTTGATGCCTTAGCTAAAGAAGGAATTAGTTGATTCTGTGTTTATAGTTTGTATGTTTTATGGCTATTTTGAGCTTATTTGGTTATGTTGGGGTGTATAATGATTGTATCTTATGTAATTTTATGGTTCAATAAAATCCTAAGGCACTCTTTTCCTCTTTCCGCTGATTAAGGAGCTTACCTATAAGCTCTATTAATCAAGAAGGGGGTTTTTAACGAGGCCTGAAATTCTTATAAAAAAGACTTTGAGATCGAAAGAAAGCAATGGAGAAAAACTCTGCAAAAGCTTGAAGAAGAAGTATACCACAAAGAAATTCGATAGCTTGTATGCAGGTTGAAGAAGAGCTTGTATGGTTTAAAACAAGCTCCTAGACAGTGGTATAAGAAGTTCGATAGCTTCATGGGTATTAGTGGTTTTACCAGATGTCAAGCAGATCATTGTTGCTACATCAAGAAGTTCGATAACAGCTTCATTATTTTATTATTGTACGTTGATGACATGCTCGTTGCAGGCTCAGACATGCAAGAGATTATAAACTTGAAGCAAAAATTGTCGAAGCAGTTTGCTATGAAGGATCTGGGCGTTGTAAAGCAGATTCTTGGGATGAGGATTAAGAGAGACACAAAGTCAGAGACTTTGATGTTATCACAGGCTGAGTACATCAACAAAGTACTCTCCAGGTTTAACATGCAAGATGCTAAACCAATAAGTACACCTTTAGGTGTTCATTTTAGACTTTCCAAAGAACAGTCACCAAAGACGGATGAAGAACGTGCACACATGGTGAATGTGTCGTATGCCTCAGCAATTGGAAGTCTGATGTATGCCATGGTTCGTACCAGACCAGATATTGATCATGCAGTGGGAGCTGTTAGCAGGTACATGAATAATCTGGGCAAGGTACACTGGGAAGCAGTTAAATGGATCCTCAGATATCTGTGGGGTACTACAAATAAAGCACTTTGTTTCAAAGGTGGAGATATGATACTGACAGACTATGTAAATGTTGACTTAGCCGGAAGTGTCGACATCAGAAGAAGCACTACAAGGTATGTCTATACTCTAGGAGGAACTACAGTGAGTTGGGTTTCTCAACTACATAAGATAATTGCTCTCTCCACAACTGAAGCAGAATATGTTGCTGTTACGGAAGCCAGCATGGAGATGGTCTGGCTCCAAAGTTTCTTGGAAGAGTTAGGCAAGAAACAAGAAAACAATGTCTTGTATTATGACAGTCAAAGTTCTATCCATCTAGCAAAGAATCTGTCTTTTCATTCCAAAACGAAGCACATACAATTATGATATCATTTTATTCTGTCTCTTCTGGAAGATGAGATTTTAAAACTTGAAAAGATTAGTGGATCTCAAAATCCGGCAGACATGTTGACAAAGACGGTGACTAAAGAAAAACTGAAGTTGTGTTCAGCTTCAGTTGGCATGCTAGAATAACAAGACCAGAAATGTTGCTGCATCGATCGAGGTGTGAAGACAGATTAAAATCAGTCTTCAAGTGGGAGATTGTTGAAAGTAAAAAAAAAATACACGTGGGGCGGCTGACAAGGAAATTCAATGGGGCTGCTAGGGGCTGCTAATTTTTCAAAATTAGGCAACCCATTTTTTTGAATTTAAGAAATGATTAATTACATTTTAGTCATTGCACTTTAGGGTATTTTTAAAGATTAGTCCCTAAGCTTCAACTATAAATACCCTAGCTCATTTAGCTTCAAAATCATCCCAAATCATTTCTTTCTCCCAATACTAGAGAGTTTTCTTGTGAGTAGTGAGTGTTTTGTAAACACCTGTAAATTTTCTCTCTTAGTAAAAGATTTGCAGTAGTCTGGAGACGTAGGCACAATTGCCTGAACTCCGTTATCAATTTCGGGGTATTATTTTTCCGCTTTTATTTCACATTTTCACTAATCTAGTTATAGGAAAATTACTCGTATTCGGTTATTTCCTAACATGTATATCAAGAATGGAAGAAAAATAGTTGAACCAAATACCTAATGCCGACAGGCTACGAATAAAGAGGTCTTGTGAATTTCCTGGATCAGGCTTTAGTATAATAAAATAATCAATTGAAAAGGTGTGAAATGAAAAGATAAAGGAACTACACAAATACTGCAAAGAAGAAGCTTAATAAGTCAATAAAATACCATAAAACGATCTACTCAATAAACCACACAAACCTGAAACTGAGTGTGGCGTTGGAGCCTGTTATGGTTTTCTCCATAACGACTATCATCTGGCCGGATGCTAGGTTCCACATACCTTCAATATAAAACCCCTAATTCTCCATTAGTTATTAGATATTAAAAGCAAAATGATGCATAGTAGACGTTGTTCAGTATCATAACAAGAAATTAACTATTGATGTGTTCTTTCAAAAAAAAAAAAATCGATTATGTAAACATAACACTAAACCTTACACCCTAAACTAGAAGAAAACATGATTAAATGGATGAGTCCATGGAGCACATGCCAAATAACCTGCGGCACAAACTTCATAACATCCCCCATTCTATATAAAACGATATGTATAACACGCCCAAAAAAGGTGTAATCATTAAAAACAGACTCAAAAACACAAAGGGTTAAAATGAATAAGAATTTATTGAAGTACAAGAAACTTGCAATCATTAGCATACTTACGCAACATTCCATGGTTCTGGACCAAGAACTCTTAAGTATGTTAATGGATTCATTGTTCCGGCTCCAACCTACTCATTAGAAACAACACCTTAACGAATACTGGCTGCCAACTAACAATAACTCAAAAAACCCGAGCAAGTAAAAGTAAGAAAAAAAAACGTAGATAAAATGATGATAAACACAGTAATGTTAAATGAACTTGCAATTGAAAATGAACCTAAAAATCCGCCTCAAATAAACTTTCCAGCACAAATTACAAAGGAAAAATAAGAAGAATACGATAAAAAGCATTCGCGGTCACGGTAAGGAAACTAGGACGTTACAGTTACAATACCTCAGTGTTGCTGCATTGCATTATAGCACATCCAACCGACGCCCAATATTCCTATCAAATTAGCAACGAATATACATAATTCTCGTCACTAAATACTTAGAGTGCGATCACTCATCAGTGTAACGCATGCGAGCAGTATTTATGAAACCTGGAGTCTTTGAATAGCTTGTTGAAAAGTGAGAACAAGAGCTTTCTTCCGCTCTCCATCACCGGAGTCTGTTGAGGAATTTTTTTGAATTGAAGAAGTGTGAAGAGCAGCGGCGGTGGTTGTTTGACGGAAGTGGCGGCGGTTCAAAGGCGGCAGCGGCGCGTGGAGGTAACATTGGGCTTAGCGAGACGGAGGAGAGCGAAGTGAGGAGCGTTGGGCCTGAGAAAGGAAATGACTAAGGGAAAAGCGAGAATGGCCATTGCTGGAGAGCTCTTTGTGTGGGGCTTGGATTAAGCCTCTGGCTTATCACAAACGAAGAAGACGATTTATGTTATTAGTCACTTCTTTCCTAAAAATGATAATAATGACTTAATTAAAATATGAGTTAATTTCATCCCATGTCCCCAAACTATAAAACTCATTTTAAATTAGTTCTTAAATTTTTTATTATTCTAATATCATCCTCAAGTTATGACTCGTTTTAAATTAATCCTAAACATTTTGAATACTCTAATTTCATCACTAAACTATGACCCTATTTCTAAATTAGTCGCCAAACTTTTGAATATTTCAATTCCATACCAAAATTCATCCAAATATATAATTAGTTTCGACCATAGTTTAACGTAAATTTTGTTTTTTTCAAACATTTATTAATATAACTTGCCCCGAGAATTTTATTAATAAGGGATGCCATTATTATATACGTATAGTTTGGGATGAAATTAGAATGTTTAAAAAGTTTGAGGACCAATTTCACCCAAATATGCAATTAGTTTCAACTATAATTTAACCTAAATTTGTTTTTCTTTCAAACATATAATAATATAACTTGGCCTAATAATTTAATTAACAAGGAATGTAATTAGTATACACATATAGTATAGGATGAAATTGGAATGTTAAAAAATTTTGGGGACTAGTTTAAAATAAATGACATAGTTTAGGGATGAATTTGAACATTAAAAGTTTAGGGACCGATTTAAAATGAGAGTCATACTTTGAGGACATGTGATGCATTTAACTCATTTTTAACTCAAATAAAATCTTGCTCATCTTGATCAAATAGTGAACTCATTTTCGTTAACTCGCACAAAATACACATTACACATAGTCACAAAGATGTGCATTCTTTGAAGCAATAAATAAACATACATGACGGTCTAATTTTTATTTTCAAGTTCATGATATTTGTACATGTCAAATCTAGCTGACATGACGATAAAAAGAGTCATCAAAATGGAATCTAGTTCAAAAATAAAGAATGGGTAAATTCCATCAAGTTCAGGCAAGCAACCATCTGTGCTGCCAAATCAGCAAAATCTCCGAAGACATATATGAAACATAATTATTTCTAATGCTAAACCAGATCATTTACCTTCGTCTTTCATTGGAATTGTTAGACATCTAGGATTTGCAGCAAAGAAAGGAAATAAACTTGGAGAAGAAATGCATATTGTTTTCTCCTCAATTAGCACCTTGCTTACACTTACATTTATAGCTCTCTAATTAACAAACTCTAACAGCTTAACAACCCTGAAACTAATTCCTAACAGGCTTCATGTGATGGTTAACCAAATCCATCACCATCTCTTAGCATATATGCATAACACACACGAGTATACTGCATGATATACAAGCATATCTCAACATTCTCTCCACTTCTTTTTTATTCTCTTCTTTAACAAGAAAGAACCCTCAACTTCCCACAAAATTGCTCAAATACAAGTTTAGTCAGTGGCTTGGTCAGCCCATCTGCGACTTGGAATTCAGCAGGAACGTGGCTAACCCGAAGTGCATCGGCTGCAATCTTCTCACGAATAAAGTGAACATCGAGTTCAACATGCTTGGACCGAGCATGAAAACCGGGTTCACACTCAAAGCCACAACACTTGTGTTGTCGCACCAGATAAAATGTGCTTCTTGTAGCGATAATCCAATATCACACAACAACGCAGAAAGCCAGGTCACCTCCGTTGTCGACTCAACAACACTTCGATACGCCACCTACATTGTTGACCGAGAAATAATTTTCTGCTTTTTTGAAATCCACGCAACCAAACAATCACCGAGAAACACGCAGTAACGAGTCATGGACCTACGATCAATGGCATCACCTGCCCAATCAACATCCGAGAATGCTTTAATACATAACCGAGCATCACCCTTTGTAAGCATCAAGCCATGATCAAGTGAGCCTGCCAGATAGCGTAGAATACGTTTAACAGCTGCAAAGTGATTCATTCGGGGAGACTGTATGAATTGAGCAGCTTTATTAACTTCAAACATGATGTCAAGCCGTGTATGGCAGACATACAGAAGAGCACCCACAATACTTCTATACTCTCGAGCATTTTTCATTAGTTCACTTTGCTGATCAGTACTCTTTGTCGCAACTATTGGAGTACAGACGGGCGTAACTTGATTCATGCTTGTTTTCTTGAGCAAGTCACATATATAAGCACGTTGATTTAACAGCAGGCCATCACCAACCTTCTTAACTTCTATTCCTAAGAAATAGGATACTTCACCAAGATCTTTAAGCGAGAACCGAGAGCTGAGTAAATGAATAACATGATCAACAATAGAAGATGAAGTTCCAGTGATGATGATATCATCGAAATATACCAAAGCATATGTACTGCAATCATCTTGAATTTGAACAAACAAAGACACATCTGCCTTTGATTCTACAAACCCGAGCTCCAAAAAACATGCTTTAAGCTTATCATTCCAGTTGCGTTGAGCCTATCGAAGGCCATAGAGAGCTTTCTTTAATTTACACACCAGTGGAGTACCATCTTCAGCACAACGCTCAAACTCGGGTGGCTGGTGCATGTATACTGCCTCGCTCAAGTCACCATTCAAGAAAGCATTATTGACATCGACTTGTCTCAAGACCCAGCCTCTCGCAACAGCCATGGCTAGAAGGACATAGACAGTCGAAAACTTTACTACTGGACTGAACGTGTTTATAAAATCAAATCCAGGAACTTGAGTGAACCCTTTTGCCACCAACTGCTCTTTGTACCTGTGTACAGAGCCATATGGATTTTGTTTAATCTTGAAGAGACACTTACACCCTACGACACTCCTATCAGCAGGTATAGGAACAAGGCTCCACGTACCATTCTAAATGAGTGCCGAATATTCAGCATGCACCGTATCTGACCAAGGAGCAGACTAAAGAGCTTCCTCAACATTTTTTGGAACAATGTCATCAAAGAATGTGGTGTACACTTTTGGTCTAAAAACTCCACATTTACTCCTAGTTAGCATAGGATGAGCATTGCCAGTCACTGGCTCTGGACTGACATCCGGTGGTGGTTGTGCTTCTATGATCGTTTCAATAGCATCAGTCTCCTCAGATGCTGCGACATTGTCATTGTATTCACCAGGCCATATAGGACTGTGCTCAGGAGAATTTGCAGGCGAGTCAGCAAGCTCTGGCTATCGAGCAGTTGCAACATTCAATTTAATAGTATCAATTACTATATCAAGAGTTTTGCTCAGCTGCGGATGAACTTGCGATTGCTCAGCTGGACTAATATGAGCAAACGAAAAACACCACTCGTCAAACTTCACATACCATGACACTATTACTCGTTTGTCAGGCGTGAGACATAAGAAGCATTTGTGCTGAGGACTCGTACCCAAAAACGTATATAGTTGAGACCTGAAATCAAGTTTTTGCTTGTTAAATGGTCGTAGGTGAGGGAAGCACCTACACCGAAACACCTTAAGCGAGTCATAGTCAGGTTGCTTGTTGAACATACACTCGAAGGGTGATTTTCCAGCTATTAATTTTGAGGGAAACCTGTTAATTAGATGAACATCCATAACCACAGCATAGGACCAGAAGCTTGTAGGCATGGATGCTTGAGCTAGCAGAACTAGGGCCATCTCAATCACATGACGGTGTTTGCGCTCCATAACACCGTTCTACTCGGACGTATTTGGGCAGGTAACTCGATGAGATATACCAGCTTCAGTAAGAACACGAGATAATCGACGGTATTCACCGCCCCAGTCGTTTTGAACAGCCAAGACCTTAGCCTCAAACTGTGTTGCTACAAGCTGCTGAAACAATTGAAAAGCCTGTGTGGCTTGAGACTTGTCCTTAAGCAAGTATAGCCACGTGTACCGAGTGCAGGCATCAATGAAGCTAGCATAATACTTAAACTCGTTTGAAACAACAGGCGATGGCCCCCATAATTCAGTAAACACGAGCTGGAACGGAGATTCATACAACGTGGTTGAATCCGAGAATGGGAGTTTATGACTCTTTCCCATGAAACAAGCAGTGCAACTTTCATTACTTTGTTCAATGTTTATATCAATAGATTTGCATATTCGCTCAAGAATACCATGAGCAGGGTGCCCAAGACGCCTATGCCACAAGTTATACAAAGAACTCGAAGCAACAGTTTTATTAGCTACAAAACAAGTACTTCTAGTAAGACTATCATCAACTTGGAACAGGTACAAGCCATTCTTCTCTTGTCCCTGCAATAGAACCTCGCCAGTGGCTTCATCATGTACACAGCATCATGAAGCATGAAACTCAAAGTACACCTCATTATCCTTAGTAAGCTTAGAAACCTAGAGAAGACTTTTAGTAATCTTGGGTACATGAAGAAGATCATTTAAAACTAAAGCTCGAGAAGTAGAGGACAACATTGATTTACCAACGGCCTGAATTGGAAGTAAACCACCATTACCAATCATTAATTTACCTGGTCTGGAAAATTCCTTCTGGTTAACAACCTTTGTCGAGTTAGCAGTAGCATGATGCGTGGCCCAGCACCCAGTGATCCCTCGTGCTTGCAGTGATACGGCTTTATGGTTGAGACGAATAACATACATGTGCTTCAGCCTTAGTCTTTATACAGCAGACACAATCGTCTTCATCAAGATGAGACGATTCCAGCCTTGAACAGTTCACAGATCCCGACACACCACGGCTTGGAGAACGTTCAGTTGGTTGACCAGTGAACGACTGATCGAACCTATACCAACAGTCAATAACAAGGTGACCATTTTTGTCGCATAACTGACATTGAACCCGTGGTCGACCACGGCCTCGTCCTCTAGTTTGGCCACTAGCATTGGTTCCAGATCGTCCAGACGATCGATCATGAAATGTGTGACTAGTGTTCTTCGAGGTGGAACCAGACTGAGCAAAATGAGCACTCATCGACAGAAACTCCTCTTGAGAATCAAATCCAGCGAGCTGCGTTTCTGCATCAATCAACATTGAGCAGATCTGATGAAGAGACAGGGCCTATTTCATAGTGGTTATAAACGATATATAAGGTTGATACTCACGGGGAAGCCCTTTAAGAATGCTTGCAACATGCTCGGCCTGAGGGATTGCACTATCACAAGAGTCTAACGCATCACATACCTCTTTGATGTGAGTGAGATACGATCGCATGCTATCACTCTCTTTCTTGAGTGATTGAAGTTTATAGTGAAGACTGATAACCGCTGTGGTTGAGCGATTTGCAAAGAATTGCAGGACCTTGCTCCAAACCGTCGCCGCCGTCTCCGCTCCAACAAACTGGGACAGTAAATACGGACTGATCGTAGAAAGAAGCCAAGAAGCTAGTACACTGTCTTGTGCAACAAACTTCTCATACAGATCATTTGCCACTGCATTGCCATTTTCATCTTCGATTGTTGCAGGAGAAGATCGCATGGCTCCGGTCAGTAACCGCTCTAGACGATGACTGCGAACTGTTAACAAAATCTATTGCTTCCATAGCAGGAAGTTGGCTTCATCAAGGATGATGTTAGCCTTCTTGTTTGTGAAGATTTCGCCAGCAGAAGCTTCCATGAGCAAGAGATGAGCATAGCGTGAATAAGAACCTCAAGGACGTCCGGCGAATGATACCATGTTAGACAGCTAGGATTTACAGCAAAGAAAGAAAATAAACTTGGAGAAGAAATGCATATTGTTTTCACCTCAATTAGCACCTTGCTTACACTTACATTTATAGCTCTCTAATTAACAAACTCTAATAGTCTAACAACCCTGAAACTAATTCCTAACAGACTTCACGTGATGGTTAACCAAATCCATCACCATCTCTTAGCATACATGCATAACACACACGAGTATACTGCATGACATACAAACATATCTCAACAGGCATCAATAAATTTACTGTAAACTTTCGGCACATCCCAGGCAACAGTTTTCTAAAATATTAAAATTAAAAAGCATAAAAAATACAGCTAAGATAAAAAAAAGAAGAAGAAGAGAAGGAACAAAGAACAAACAAATATTACTTCTTTTAGATGATGTCGTTTATTTCTAAATATTAAAAAGTTCATTATTCTGTCAGTTACTAGGAAGAAAGCAAGAAGTTGAAGGACACTCACAAGATCCTTCTCATATAGCCCGAAGTAAGGTCTTTACCTCGGGCATTACATTTTCTTCTTCTTGGCATAGAGGCAGTACTATATTTACCATCACAGAAATGGTACCCTAAAGGCACCCAGAAAATGTATACTGTAAAAGGAAACATAAAAAAGGGTATATATCAAGTTGCATTAAAAAAATAAAAATATACCTATATACCTGCCATCCCTACTCAAAAAATAGTTTTTCATTTTCTTGTAAAAAGAAAAATCCTTATACGAAAATTTCTTCTCTCTTGGTGCATGTTAGCTAGTCTAACAACGAGAGAAGACGAAGCTTATCTCTTCTGTTCTATTGATCTTCTCTTCTTTTTTTGCCAACATTCTTTGGGGGTTTTATCGGGCTATGTCTGGCGATACTGCTACGAACTGGCGTGATCTTTTTATGACGGGAATTGATCAGGAATTAGAATTTTTTCCACCAGCGGTGATTGAGGGCGCTTGTGTGGTCAAGCCGCCGAAAGATGTGTTTGAGGAGGGAATTTTGGAGTGGAAATTTGCTCTTGCTGGGCAGTTTATTGGTTCGGCTCCAGCCTTTGGTTACATTCAGAGAGTTGTCTCGATGCTATGGGGGAAGGCTTCTTCGATTAAGGTGAGTCTTGCTGGGCAAAACCTATATGTTTTTTCATTTGCTAGTTCGGTTGCTAGGGACTGGGTTTTAGATAGCGGTCCATGGCATGTACAACATAAAACGATCTTTCTTAGAAAGTGGGAACCTAATTTGAAAGAGCTCCAGTTTGATTTGAGTCGTATACCGATTTGGATCCACCTTTACAATGTTCCTCTAGAGCTTTTTTCAAGGAGGGGACTTAGCTACATTACTAGCGCCGTTGGAAGGCCACTCCATATGGACTCTGTCACTGCTACTCGAGAGAAGCTTGAATATGCTCGAGTATGTATTGAAATCACTGTTGGATCTCCAATTCAGGACCACATCGATGTTGTTTTGGCTGATAAATCAGTGGCAAGAATAAGAGTCTCAATTCTTTGGATTCCTAGCTCTTGCACTGATTGTAGACGTTTTGGTCACTCTATAAAGCTTTGCCCTCGGGGGAAAAGAACTGAGTAGGTTTGGAGGGCCAAGGGGCCTGTTCAAGATGCTAAACAGAATGTTTTTCCTGTCAGTGGTGGGATTTTAGATACCACTACTAATACAACATCAGAGGGGATTAGTCCTGGCAAGGATAATGATCATGCAGTTAATCATGTTGGACTTAATGGATCTCTTGTTGAGAGTAACGTTGTTGCCAAATCAGTGCTGGATGTAGATTGTACTGTCACTTTAGATCTGGTCAAACAGTTTGAAAGTGATGCTGATGTCAGTACAGTGCTTGAGGGGGGTATGGATTGCATTGTCTCGACCAAACAGGCTGGTCACCTTAATAATCCTCTTGTTAAAAGAGGTAGAGGAAGACCTGCTAAGGAGGGTAAGATTACTGGTGGAGCTTCAAAGAATAAATTTGGCATTCTTAATTCTTTGGATCCTGACAATGTACTGGAAATTTCTGCTGTTGATTCTGGTAAAAAGCAGAGAGGTGCTTCTATGGGAGTTGCTAAACTTGTTCATGAACTAAAAATGAAAAAGAAAGAGCATGTGGATAAAGTAAAGAAACTTGAGGAAAGAGGGTCCTTATTCCTCCACCCCTGCTCCATGTTAATCTGTTTTTGGAACACTAGGGGTTTTAATAGTCCCCTCAAGAAAGGAAAGGTTCTGAACTGGGCTGTCAAGAATCAGATTAGTAACATTTGCCTACTGGAAACTAGAGTGAATGAGAATAAATCCTTAGCTATTTTGTCAAGTAAGTTTAATGACTGGAAGTATTGTTACAATTATGGTTTTGCTGATAATGGTCGTATTTGGGTTCTTTGGCAAAGTATTGTTGTATGTTCCATTATTTCTACTTTTGATCAAAGCATCATAATTAAAAGTTGTTTTAGGGGTATATACTTCTTCTTTACTGCTGTATATGGCTTGAACGATGGCTCTTCTCGTAAGCGCCTTTGGACCCAACTTTGCTCCATGGATGCCTTTGTGAATAATAAATCTTGGCTAATTGGTGGTGACTTTAATGTCATCCTCAATGCTGAGGAAAGTTCTGCTCAAATCAAATCTGGAACCTTAGTCGACATGGTTGATTTTCAGAGCTGTGTTTAGGACTTGGGGCTTATAGATCATCCTTACACAAGTCCATTGTTTACTTGGACTAACAAACAACATGACACTCACTTAGCTCGCAAACTGGATCAGGTTCTTGTTAATCCAGCTTGGTCCGTAGCTTTTCCTGCCTCTGATGTTGAGTTTCAGGCACCGGGTGATTCTGATCACTGCCCAGCACTTGTTTGGCTTCACAAAGAAGTTCCTGCTGCCAAGCCCAAACCGTTCAAATTTTTTAATTTCTGGGCTATGCATCCTGATTTCATGTCCTTAGTCAATGACTCCTGGCAAGTCCCAGTCCCGTCTAATCAGTCTCTTCACTTAAAACTTAAGAGGCTGAAAATTCATCTTAAATAGCTTAACATGAATAATTACAGTGAAATATATGGGCAAGTAAGAGAGAAAAGGGAAAAATTAAAGATTCTCCAGCTTGCTAACCTCGATATGATAACTGCTGGAAGTAACATTAATGCTGAGTTGGTAGTCGAGAAGGAGTTGAAGATCCTTGAGCAGGCTGAGCTACTGTTCTACAAACAAAAAGCAAAGTTTAATTGGATTAGGGAGGGGGACCAGGGTACTCAATTTTTCCACTCCATAGTTGCCACTATAAGGAAATCCAATACAATTAGAGTTCTCTACAATCCAAGTGGTGACTGGCTTGACACTTTTGAAGAAATGTCTAATGAAGTGACTAGATTCTTTGTAAACCAACTTAGTGTGGCTGACCCCGAGGTTAAGGCCACTACTGCTAGCACTATTAAGGATCTTCTTGGCCTCTCCTTGTCAAGTGAAGCTGCAAATAGTCTTTGCAGGGCTGTTTCTGAGTCTGAGATCAAAGAGGCCTTATGGAGACAAGGGAATAACAAGTCACCTAGCCCAGATGGCTATAATGCATTCTTTTACAAAAAGACTTGGTCTATTATTGGCGAGGATTTCTTGGCAGCAGTTAGGTACTGCTTCGATCACTCTTTTATGCTCTATTCATTTAACGTTGCTGATGTGGTACTTGTCCCTAAGATTCCTAATCCTAGCTTAGTGAAGGACTTCAGGCCCATATCTTGTTGTACGGTTGTTTATAAAACTGTTACAAAAATCCTAGTAAACCGTCTCTCATCTGTTTTCCCTGATATGATCGCTTTGAACCAAACTGCATTTGTGAAGGGTAGAAGCATAGTTGAAAACACCCTACTTGTTCAAGAAATTGTTAGGGGTTACTCTAGAAGTAAGATATCCCCTAGATGTGCTCTTAAGATAGACCTCCAAAAGGATTTTAATTCCTTAAGCTGGGAGTTCATTGATGTGATCCTGCATGCCATGGGGCTACTTGAGAAGTTCATAGGTTGGGCATGGGCCTGTTTTGCATATCCTAGATACTCCATTGTTTTCAATGGTAGTCTTGTAGGATATTTTAAAGGAGCAAGAGGAGTGCGGCAGGGTGACCCCCTATTACCCTACATTTTTATCCTAGTAATGAATGTCTTGTCTAATCTCCTTAATATGGATGCTACGAAGGGTATTTTTAGCTTTCATCCTAAGTGCAAGAGGATTGGGCTCACTCATCTCTGTTTTGCGGATGATCTCCTCATTTTTTGTAAGGGTAAAATTAGCTCTGTCATGGGAGTGCAAGCTGTGTTAGACCATTTCTATTCCATGTCAGGGCTGAAGCTGAATGCCAGTAAGTGTGAGATATTCACTGCTGGTATCCCTGATGAGCATATCAGTACCATCAAAGAGAGCACGGGTTTCAAATTGGGTAGTCTCCCAGTGAGAAACCTGGGTGTCCCATTAGTAACCAGGAAATTGGCTGTGAAAGATTGCCAAAGCCTCATCGATAAAATTAGAGCAAAGCTTAGCTCGTGGGCCAGCAAGCAACTCAGCTTCGCTGGTAGGTTGCAGCTTTTTCGTTCTGTTCTGCTCAGTATCTCAAGCTACTGGAGCAGGCATCTTATTCTTCCTCAAGCAATTATTAGGAAGGTTGAGCAGTTGTGCTCTCGATTTTTCTGGAAAGGGTCTGATGTTCCTGCCAAAGGTGCACGAGTGAGCTGGAAAACCATCTGCTTGCCAAAATCAGAAGGTGGACTAGGGATTCACGACGTAGGAGGTTGGAACAAATCATGTTCTGTTCAGCTAATTAGAAAGCTTCTCGCTAATGATGACTCTCTTTGGGTGGCGTGGATGCACTCTTACGTTATTAGAAACTCTGACTTCTGGCAGATGGAAGTCCCTAAAAATGCTAGCTGGAGCTTCAAGTACCTGCTGAAAATTAGGCCTGAGGTTGCTTTCATCCTTGTGAGTCAAGGTCCCTTGGCACCACCTGGTCTGGTTCTCGGGACGTATTCCTAAGCATAGTATTATTGTCTGGATGGCCATATTAAACAGACTTCCTACTCGAGTGAGAGTCCAACGTATGGGCTTGGCCATAGAAACTGATAAATGTTTACTGTGTGGTGAGGAGGCAGAGACGAGAGACCATATTTTCTTTGATTGCCAATTTGCTAAAGAGCTTTGGGAATCAATTCTTGAGCTGTGCTGCATTTCTCGTGGAGCTTGCAGCTGGGTTAGTGAACTGGCTTGGGCCTCCCTTCTATTCAAGGGTAAGTCCCTCATTGTGGGGATTCTTAAGCTCGCCTGGTCTGGGCACATTTATGGTATATGGAAAGGGAGGAATGACAGATTGTTTGGGAATAGAGCAAGATCGAAGGAGGAAGTGCTAGGTGACATCAAAGAGGTCATCCGTATCCGGCTGGTGGGTAAAACTTTCAACCGGTCTGATCTTTCTAATATCGCCCTGTGTACTAACTGGGGCATTACTTTATTCTTATTGTTCTGCTATAGTTAGCTGGTTGTTCTTTGTGTTTTTTCCCTTGGTCTTTTGTGATGTCTATCGACTTTGTTTACTGTAGCAGAGTTCTCTGCTTCTTGGGTAATGAAATTGATTTATCCAAAAAAAAAGTTGGCGTAGCATAGAGACCCAAAAGTGCACAGCCTCGACTCTGAAACAATAATTGGACTAGGAGTTAATTGATTTTCACTAAAAAATAGTGCAAGTTTCCACAGCCTCACACTTCTGGAATGAACGAAACTGAAGCATTGACAAAATATCCATTTGTATTCCCTCATTTATTGAGGCTTGACAAATGATTAACTCGCTTCATTGACACCCAAACACTTGCTAATGTAGAATAAGCCAATTTTGAAAAGGAATAATGCTCAAATAAGGCATGGGTTCTAGTATCATGAGTGTTGCTTCAGTAATTTTGAAAAGGTTAATAAAACATCAAATATATCCTTAAAACAATGATTTTATATTTAATTTATCCCTCCACCACCATCACAGGTTCCTTCCTACCTTTCCCACCTCATCAGCCCCAAACCCAAACACATCTTCTCGACTTAGTCCTCTCCCACTCCGACAACAACAAATTACAACTCCTTGATAATTTATTGCACTAACCCCTCCCAACCCTTTAATAAATTGGTCCCTTACCATAATACTTTCTTCTAGATTTAAATCACTCCATGTAATTTTTTTTGCAAAAATATTTTTTCTTCATCGTCGTACATGAATTTTTGTCACAGTGAACTCTTAATATTTGGAGAACCCATTTTTATCCGATGATGAATTTAATCAAAATTTCGGTAAAAATATTTTTCTTACCTTAAATCGATGTGATTATCTATTAAAAAATTTATGAAATCAAATGGATTGGAAAGGAAATGTTTTTAAAGTTTTAGGGTTCGTGAAAAGAGGAAACTCTTTTCATATTTTGAGGATGATTGATTTTATGTTTTATTTTTTTAATTAATATACTCAAATATAAGTTATATCAATTAATAATAAAATCCTTGTTTGACATAATGGTTAAGCTAACATTTTTACAATTATTAAGTCTAGGAAATCAATCAAATAATAACACATGACATTATTTGATTGATCGTCATGATGTTCTATCACCTCATCATTTATTAATATGAAGAGATATTATATCAATATTTCAATCCACTTGTTTCTATCTCTCAAATATATAATAGTGAAAAACATAATTTTACGCTAATAACGTTAGATGAGTAAAAATATACAACTGAGATTATTTCTTTATTTTTTTCTAATGAATATCTTTTCATTTCTTGTTATTAACTTCAACCGTCTAATTTTATTCATCCAACAATCTTAAATTAGTGCAAAACTTTTTAATTTATATTGTGTAAGTAGATCATACTCACTCCCTCCCTCCCTCAAAACTTTTTAATTTTACATTATATAACTAGATCACACTCCCTCCCTCCATAGCCCTTTAAGGATGACATTGAAATGTTCAAAAGTTTAAGGACTAAATTAGAATGAGTATCATAGTTTGAGGATAAAATGAGAATATCCAACATTTAAGGACTAATTTTTAATGAATATCATATCTCGGGAACATATAATACAATTAACTCGGTATAATTTATTAAAAAATATAATTAATACTAGAATTTTTCAAAGGAATAGAGAAAATGAAGCTGCCATCAACTCACCAAGTGAACCAATACAGACACAACATGGAGCTTCACAGTTTTGAGTCCTCAAAAAGACCTGCTCATATATATATATATATCGTTGCAATGAATACAGACACAGAAATGATGAACCAATACAGTCTTTGTTCTGATAGTTCTTACGTTCAAAAGGTTACAGGCAAAGAGAGAGAGAGACGGAGAGACCTTAGAGATGTAATTTATAAACTAATGAAACTCTTGAGTTGCCTAATAAATTAAGTTGGTTCCTGAATTTAGATGGATGTCTCTACTTGGTGATGCTCCAAGTTTCTAAGTACAATTCTCGCAAAGATTTTAGCCTCGATAGGGGATGTCGCTGCTGCGGCTGCTGCTCGCAGAACCCTTGCCACTCCACCACCCTGCATAAGGCTAGCATGGTGCACGGCGTGTCGACCACCAGGAATGGTGAACTGCAAATATCTCAACGAGATTATAAAGATGGAACATGTGAATATCCCTTAGCAATATGTATAGTAATTCAGAAAGAGGTTCTCCAAACAGGATTTTCGTAACTATTGGAACCCGGAAGAGATTGGTATTCTACCTGGAGTAGAGCAAATGCTGCACATGCCTTGAGTATTGAAGAAGAGTTTCGAAGCATCGAGACGAATCTTCCAATTTCAGCCCCGCTACGGAATATAAAAGTCATGTTAATTCCGAGGGACTGACTTAGAGTCACTCCCCACACACAATACATGCATGAGTGCAAAAGAATGCACAGGCACGATAGGAACACGTAGAACAAAGGAAGACGGATACCATATTGGAGACTATCTTTGAAAAGCTTTATGAAAACCATAAAGTATTTCCTTTCATTAATTTACAATTGCATTTCTTCATCGACATCTACGGTGGTCATTTTCGTTATTAACAGCATGTCATTTTCTTTGCGCAACTTAAATGTTGAAGTTGAGACGATGATCATTTTAAAACCGCAAATGAAATCGGAATACAATGAGGGAAAAGGATGAGGGAAGGGAACCTGCATCTTAGATGCCCCGCTTCTTGAATACGAGCCTTTTCAGTTACTTGTGCCAAGGCTGCCGGAGCTGATGAAGCAGCAGCTGTAGCGAATGCTTGTGGATTGTAGAATGTACGGATAAAAGTTTCGATATGCTTCAAAGCCATTCTTCGGGCCCCATCCAAGCTCACACTCTTCGAAGTGCTTTCTGATGATGAACTCATTGATGCAAACTCATCAATTCTGCTAAAAACATCATACGAAGCAAATTAGCATCAAAATGCTTAATCCATAGTTTTACCAACTCACTCAATTTAGAGGCTGCTTTCATAAGGATAGAGACTATATACATTCCACTTTTCAGTCACCGGTAAAAATTATCTCTAACCAGAGATCTCATTATGATAAGCCATTGCTAAAACGTCATAAACCAACTAAACTATAGAATAATGATAGACTGAACTTAGTACAACAAGGTTCTGTGAAAAGATGTAGTCATGTAGATGTATAAAATAGATGAGGGTGTATCGAGTGATAAGGCTAGAATATTTACCTCCCATCAAACATGTATGCCAGCGCCAATGCAGCCATGAAGCGTGCCATTTTGGATAATGATGAAGAACAAAGATGAACAAGTGCAGGAACCCCACCTTCTTCCACTATCCGAAGAGCATTGCCATGGTTAAAAGCAAGGTTCCAAAGAGCCCCTGCGGCAGTTTCATGAACATCCTGAAAGCAAAAGCGTAAGTTAAATTCAATTGAGATGCTACCTGGCAGAAAAGTTATATCATACCCTAACTGCAAGGGCTGGTTTATGAAATGCTTACTTCAGCTTCAGAGCGAGCAAGTGCAATCAGGGGCGCAACACCTCCTTCTCGTCCAATAGCAATGCTAACAAAGACCAAAACGATAAATAGCATGAATATTCTGCTTATTATAGTTACAATGAATGATCAATTGAGAGTATTTTTCTAGGAAAAATCATGAACAAGAATAAAAATTTGGTTGCCCTAAATTATTTTATCCAGAATAACAATGATTAGCACAAAAATGCATGTTGACTACATCATAACAGAAACATGCAAATTGCTAAAAGTTTAGGGCTGTATCGTATCACCCCAATTTGGCAAGGCGAAGCATTGGATGATAGCAAAGAATGTTAACAAATACGTACAATGGAAAAGCACAATAAGGCAGCATGAATAAGAGTTGTTTTGCTCCCATTGTTTTAAGCCTTGTATTCCATATGCATAAAAACTCGATGAGGCCATAAGTTTTAAAAATTATCACATAATGTTTTAAGCCCGGGGTTTTATCACTAACTCTTGAATAGGTTTCCATGTTCACATACAAGAGAAAATAATTGCATTACCTGTTGACTTCTGACACTGACAATCCCCAAAGAGCACCAGCTGCCCTCTCTTGAAGACCTGGGGAAGCATTTGAACAGGACTGGGCAAGAGTAACCTACATAAAATAAAATATATAAATAAATAACTTTTGTGATGTAGTGAACTCTTTGCCAACAAAAAGTTATCTTCACATGATCTCTTCCAAAGAATTATTGTGAAGCCAATAGCACAATTCAACTAATCTTAAACGTTACTCAATTTCCAAAGCACTTCATTATAGTGGCCAATATTTCAGGATTCAGAATTTCGCATCACGGAGCCACACGGGAAGGGAAAAAGCAAATGAAACACCCAAAGCTAGTATCTACAGGAATCCATGGAATACAAGTAAGCCTCAGATGACCGAGACACATCCTATCTATATCTAAACATATTATGGTAGATCTGCATTTTAATGCTAAAAACACACTAAATGATTTAAAAGTCTACAAAAATCAATATGTCCAAGCAAAAATTATTTAACACGCATATATTTGGGAGGTCTTTTAGTAGACATCAATAGTTATCCCCTTTTGCTGCACATAACGTTAACCAAGGGTACCCCTTCTTAGAGAGAGACAACAATAGAGGCTGAAAAAGATAAATGTCATACCAAGGCCTCAACACCACCAGCAGCCGCAATTGCTTCTCGATTTCTGTCATCAAATGACAAATTCCACAATGCACCGGCAGCTTCTTGCCTGTTTCAATCAGTAGAAATCATCATAAATGTTAGACAAACCCAACATAATTTTGTGCATAGAGAAAAAGAAGTTGTATTCTATGAGTTACTGGATATATTATTATGGGACAAACAGGAAAATGAAGAGAGTTAAAACAAGTACTGTAGGATCAGCAAATGAACATTGAACCTATTTACATGAAAAAGCATATAATAGGTGGTACCAAGAGCTAGCTTAAACACATGATTCTATTTACCTGACACCT